ATTTGAGACTGTTCTTCCCTCAGCTTTCATTTCTGAGAAATGAAGTATAAGCGTGTCATGTTAGAAGTTAAGTTTGTGCGGAAAAATAAAGGAAGAGTTGGAATGAAAGAATGAAGTTGGGCCTGGGAAGAAGGGAGAGGTGGGGGGAGGTGGTATAGTTTTTGTCTTTATTTCTTACCATTCACATCTATTTTAATTGTCAATAAATTAAATTAATTTTCCCCAAATCAAGACTGTTTTTCCTGTAATGGTACCTTGTAAGTGATCTCCCTATCTTTATCTCGACCCATGAGCTTTTCCATCTTATTTTCTTCCCCTGTCCTGTTGAGAAGAAGGAGTGCAAGAGTGGCTGGGTGGGTGTCTGGCAGCTGGCCAAGGTCAACCCACCAGAATTATGAAGCATTGAATTGTCAGCTGAACATTTTTGATCTCTCATGGAAAAGTTCAGAACCATCATTGGCTTTGTCTTACCAGTGTGCGGCTCTTCGGCATGACTAAGTAAGCCCATTACCTTCATTAGTGACAGCAGTAACTAGCTTCATGCACCTTGCTTCTGTATATCTCTTGTGTTCATGAAATGAACAAGAGAAGGAGACTGTCTTGCACAGGAATGTAAATGTCTGTCAATCCATGCAGGAAATGTGAGATCTGAGTTCTGGGTGCTCTGAAGCCTGAGCTCACTGCTTTCTTCCTGGGGTTGCGCGCATCACAGTCTGGCCAAGTCTGGGAGAGCGTCATTTCATTTCTGTGCTTTAGTACTGAGCAGCTAGACATGAAAATCTTGGAGAGTGGCAGAGACATGAAACATGGGGTGGGGGTGTGCAGACTCTGTCATCTTGTGCTTAGAAGAAATTATGGAGAGGGTTTAGAGGTGTCTTTGGTTGTGTCTTAGAACAGGAGGCTGGTTGTGGCACCAGCTCCCCTGTTGTTGTTAAAAGTTTGCAGCAGGCTTCTCAAACGTATGGCTTGGCTGAATTAAAAACTTGGCTACAAAACCACAGCCCTTCTCATAGACAGTCAAATTTCATAATAGTGTCATTCATAATTAAAGAAGCACTACGTGATGCTGGGAGTGAGGGGAGGGGTTTCACTGGGATGAGATACAAGTTTTTGTTTTGTTTTCTCTTCCTGTAAAGTAGCCCAACATAATTTGATTAAAACTTGCAACAGAAAATCATCCGCATGAAGAAAATGCCAGTCATAGTTGCAGTGGTGCTGTACTGAAAATGTGGGCCTTTTAGGAGTGGGGAGAGTCTTTGTGCTAAACTGATGGCCATAGCTTCTCAGAAGATGAGCTTGTAAGCCCAAAAGCTTACCCATCTTCTGTATTTTCTGTAGCAGCTGCTCTAACAGCAGTTGCCGATACAGACCTGGGTATGATTTGTGTTTTTAGTTAGTCTTTCAAGGGAATAAGTGTCCAAACATGACTACTGAAAGGCTCCAACGGATGGCACTGAGAAAGAGAGTTTGATCTCTTTTAGGATGAGTTAGTTTGTTGACCCAGAAGAACAAATGTTTTGATAGGGTCATGCAGAGTTAGGCTTGATTATGTGCCCAGTTTAGGACGTGTATCTGATATGTGTTTTGCCTAGGTGGGTGATTGGAGTCCGCAGATGGGTTGGGATGAGAGGTAGGAGAATAGAGAAGGAAGGGCTGTCATGAATTCAGGTCACCTTTAGCTGGGCAATGCTGGGTGGCTGTAAGTTAGCTGGCACAGTCAATGAAGGGGGTTGAGTGAGCCAGGAGGGGACCTCGTCCTGAAAAATGTGTTGACTCAATACATCATATCGGCAACCTCTACTAGTGGGTCTCCTGAGTGTCATCAATTAACGTGGAGCGCTGGAGCAGCCTGGCCTCACTCAGGTGTGGACGCTCCATCTGCCTGGCCTACCGGAGAGGCTCCGGGAGGAACTCTGTTCACACTCCCACCTGCCATGGGGATGAGTCTAGCCTCTTTGCCTTAGATGACTGCCCACCCTATGCAAACCTCGGCAATTGCATCCTATTTGCTGAATGGCCTTGAACATAGTATAATGCAAGTGCTGGTTACAGCAGGAGAGCAGAGTTTTTGGAAAGATTATCTCTCTGGTTGACTATCGGGCTAACCATGTCATCCACAGGTTACAGCACATGGACTGGATCTACTTGGCTGTTACCAGGCAGTGTTCCCCCCAGGATGCGTCACACAATGTCCTTCCAGTTATAAATGTGGAAGGGATCAAATAGTTTGGGAAGAATCTACTTCTGTGAATATTGCTGCTCTGAATTATAAATGACCCAAAAGCCAGAGCTATTCACTGCATTCACTCTTCAGACCAGTGCTCAAAAGGCAGAGCGCGGCTTCTAAGAAATAGGATTTTAGAGAACAAAAGGGGAATCGAGCGCTATGAAAATTTAGTTAAATGTAAATGTGTTAAATGGTACATGAACTAGTCAGGTTTTCATGATTTATCAGTTTTAAACTTCAAAGGCTCTGGTTAGCTTGCATTTTTAAAACTAATGAGTTTATCACCGCCAGTGGGGAAAAATGGTTCAAGTATATCAGCTGTAAATTGGTACAAAGCACTAAAAGGGACATTAGCCTCTAATCAGATTCTAACAGTTCATTAAACCTGCCTTTCCTCGGTGGCACTTTGTCTTCCCCCCTCCTCCTGCCTGCGCCTCCTGCGCAAACCAGCCTCGTCCCTTCGTTCCGGCGGGTAAGACCTCCTCAGGGACATGAAGCAATATCAGCTCATCCTTCTTTGTCTGTGAGCTAAACAGCCTAAGGGATGCTTGATGATGGCGTATTCCTGATCTTGCTGTAAAACTCAACTGCGCTGCGTATAAATCAAGAACCTCTTGATGTAACCTCTGCTTGCAGAACAGGCGCTGGGGGAGCCAGGAATGCTGGGCTGGCTCCTGCTCTTCCTCCACCCCGGACCACATCCAAACCACTGGAGCTCAGTGACACCCGAGATCTGCTTCTGATAAGTAAACAGTGTACCACCCTTGCTGGGAAGAGGGATGTAAAGCCTGGAACAAATTCAACCAGCTGTTCTGTGGCATCGGAGTGCCTCCTGCTCTTTCCCCACCTCGTGCCTCGAGCACTGAATAAAACTGTGCAAAATAACTTGCTGAGAAGACATAGGAAGAGTTGTTTTTTTGTTGGGGGTTCTTTTTTTTTTTCCTTTTTGCTGTTGTGTCAAGCTTAAAATACAGTAAATATACAGTGGTAGCATAGCATGGACTGGGACATCTCAACAGCTTGACTGGTGGTCTTCATTCACACGTATTTGAATGTGGAGGCATTCTGCTGAAAATTACTTCCTTGATCTGAAATTTTATAACTTAAGCATTTAGAACTTTTTATGAACTATCTAAATTACGTTTGAAGGAAAAAAATAGAGATTTCAATTGCTGTTGCATTTGCTTGTCTGCTTTACCATCAAGTTCCTGCCTGCCCTGTAGTATCAAACAGCAGCTCTGTGTGCTGTAACACATGGGCTTCAAAGTGAGGGCGATGGGGATTTTAAGCAGGTCATTTGCCCTGCCTGTGGCACCGTGTCGGAGCATGGGCGTACTGGTTTCCCTGCTTTTCAGCATGTTATTTAAATTACAATAAAGGAGTATACAAAAATAAACAGTTGCTGCAATATTTATATCCCTGAAAATGAAGATTGTGGGATGAGGTGCATTAATTGGAAAAAAGAAAAGGTTTAAAGTAATACAAGTTTTTAAAACATATTTTGGAAACTCCATTAGGACAGACCATTTTTCTTAAAATTCCCCTGAAGCAGCCGTGGTAAGAAACGAGGCTATGAACATCTTCTTTATGAATAACAGCACCACGCAGTACCGAGCAGATCTACTGCCCATGAAACACGGGGAAAGCGTTTTTTCCATTACAGTGCAGTTATTGAGGACTGCAAGGTAATGGTTAGAGCGGAGGTGAGTTTCCAGTCTTGAGTGCTGCCTTCCAGACGGGACTGCAGGTGAGTGAGTGGTTGTGAATGGGTCACTTATAAGCGATCCGTGCTGTAGTTTCGCTATTTGAAAAATAGCCGTGACGTCTTCGTATTTCTGTACCGCTGACCAAGGTGTCTGGATTTGTAAGTTCAGATTCTAGCTTGAGGAATAAAATGTCTTTTATTCTCCTCATGTTGTCCAAACTAAATAGCGTTTGAAGGGGCTAGCTTTCAACACCAGCCTTGAGCCTTGGCTGGAATCAAAAATTGATTTGAGGTTGGGGTAGTGTTTGAAGTGAAGGCACAAGAGGTTGTTTTGCATGTCTACATAAACTGCTCCAGCAACAGCGGGATGAGACATTCAGAGCAGGGATGTTGATTCAGGGAAGCCCAGTTCTACAAACCTCACTTCAGATTGATGCTCTCAGCATATATTGCCCATTACTAGAAAGACAACACATGTTTTTAGCATACTTTTTAATTTCTTTTGTGTCAGAGGTGAGTGCATGGAGATTTTCATTGGCAAATGCTGATTAATTTTACAAGATAATGAATTGTATGAAATCTGAGGAGTTGTTGATGTGTGTTCATTTATGGGAGAGGTGTGTATAGGTCTTCACTGTAACTTCTCTGTATTCAAGTGTATGCTTGCTCTAGGTAATACAGAAATACAAATGTTTTGATTGAAAACAAATATACCTAAGTATACTGCCAAAAACCTGAAGCTATTTGACATCACTGCTCTCCTTTCCTGTTCCTGTTACATACATGCACCTGCGTGATTAATTTCAAATTAAAAAATAGTAATTGGAGGTGATTTTCCCATGATGCCTTCAAAGACATAGTTCTTTTTTAAGGGTAACTGGAAGTATAATGTACTGCTTTAACAGAAGTAGTGACTTGGTAGCTACTCCTTGAAATTAATACTACGTCTTCGTTAACTTTATTTCTGCTAAAAGAAACTTGTTTCTGCAATATGTAGAACTAAACCAGTGAATTAAACCAAGTGTTTTTCGTCTCTTTTTTTATTAACCTTGTCCTTTTTTGCCTTAGGACATCAGCGCCTTTGAGAACAGAATGTTAATGCTTGATGGGATGCCGGCAGTCAGAGTCAAAACAGAGCTGCTGGAATCCGAGCAAGGGGTAAGCAGAGGTTTCTGTGTGGCCTCACTCTGCAGCATGCTGGTGGCCCTCCCGAGCTTCTCTGTGGTTAGCTGTCCCTCCTTTTGTATTGTCATTTTCTTTTGTACGTTCTTCTTCATTTCTGCTGCTTTGGAGCTCATTTTCTTGCGAGATGTATGGGTGAGCATCTAGTCTCATAAGCTGGGAGCAAAACCCAAAACTCTGTGGAAGACGTATTGAAATAATCTGGGATAGCTGAGATGCTGTTGGTGTAATTTTACAATTACTTTAAAAGGTGCAGTTTAAAACCAGGAAAAAATAATGGATTACAGCAAAGGAGCCAAATTCATATGTCTAACGAAGCACATACATATCTTTGCTATTCTGCCTTATTGAGATATTTGTCTTACTGTAGTGGTTTTGTCCTTTTATATGTTTGTCCTACTCAATTTTCTGTTTGTGCAAACCTGCTCTCTTTCTGGTGGAGCAAACCTGCTCTCTTCTTGTTTATCATTATGATAAGAGCACTGGAAGCTTCGGGTGGTTAAAGCTGGTAGAACATTGACTGCTGAATACAGGACAGAGATCACGGATAGGATTTTGAATTTTCTGCAGAACAAGTGTTTGGTGTGGGAGTGGTAGATTTTAGGAAAATGAAATACTAAGTTTTTGGATTTGTTAAGAGTAATTTTGTACATATGTAGTAATATTACATCAGAGATTGTAGATTTGCTATGAGGGCATCTGTATTTAATGGGTTTTGTGTTGTCATGGATCTTCATTTCCTGGTGTGCATCCTACGTTGTCCCAAAGAATCCAAGCCACCTTTACTGCTCTGGAGACAGATACCTCCAACAAGCAGAGAGCATAATAGAAGCAGCAGTGCTATTGCCGTGTAGGGATGGGCTTTTGCCACCTCCTGTTGTTCAGCTTTTTTCCTTCCTGCTATTTTCTCAATTATTTAATTGAGAATTTAAATTATATGGAAGAGAGGGAATTAACTTTCAGGATGACTTAATTTGAAAGACTTGCAAGGAGAGATCAGTTGTTCATGATGTTTTTGAGGCTTTAGTTTAAGAGAAAAAAACTTGACATTTAATGGAGTGCTTTCTCATCTCTCTGCCTTCTTGAGACTAAGTAGTCTCAGAAAATATACCAATACAGCATAGTTTGAGGAAACATAAAAATTGGACTACTGTATGAGCCACAATGATGAAAAGACAAATCCACGAGAGGTAATTTTTAGAACCTTCTGGATGCTTTGCATCATGTCTTTGTATGTAACACAAAGCTTTCTCTATATTGTTCAGAAGACAAATGTTATATTGGTATTTGCCTTTTTCTAGTTTAAAATAAATTCTATGCATGATGCATATTGCTGGGTCCTTTGAGAAGAATACTTCCTTTAGCAAAGTGTGATTTGATTCTGGAAGACCTATTTGGTGTCTTAGGAACTGGAAGGAAATGAACAATTGATATAGTTTTTTAATTTCCTTAGGGGTTTTTTATAAATAAAATTTTACGGACTTCTGTGTAAGCAAAAAATGATGTCATCTCTTTCTTTTCCAGTGACTGAGCTGTTGGAAAAAGAGCTTGGTTTGATTTGGGATTTTTATGTGCTTTGGTACTAATTAAGTAGTGTCTGGTCAAGAGTTTCTGGCACCTTTATGACTCTTCATTAGGGAACAATCAATAAATACAAAATGAATTCTCCAGTTCACTAACAGAGGAGCCAGCCATTAGGATGGCAATTTTCCAGCAAACAGCTTAAACTCTAAAGAGAAAGGTGGTTGAAACAGATGTTTAGCATGTGCTTCAGAGACTGTTTTGAATATGTAGATGTTGGTAGACATAACAGAGACAAGTGTTTTACGGCTGTGATTACCAAGCACAGCACGTGGAGCTGTTTAGAAAGACAAGTATCATAACTGGGAAGAATAGAGTGGGAACTAAAGTGTGATCCCAGTAGTATGAATTTGAAATTGCGATGTTTATTTGTGTTATTATGGTGCCCAAAGTCCCTGGAGTTGCACCTCCGTTGCAATGTAGGGATACGCAGGGGGACATGATTTCTACTTTAAAAATTTGTGAACTAAGATGGTGTTTTGAGTCTTTCGAAGGTAATGGCCAAAGCTTCGTCACTTACCGTGCTGAATGCCAGACAAGACTCTGCAAATTCTTCCAAAACCTGTAGGAAAACAGCTGGGTTTCTTGCTGTTCCTGCTTGGTGTTTGCTGTTGGCTCTAGGTTCGATGCAAGGGCAAAAGTGAGGCATGGTTTAAGGGTTACGGAAAGAAAGTTTCATCTGTGGTTGGGGCACCCTGAACGCTGTGTCAGTTGTGGAGGAGTGAAACCAGCGGAGTGTGGAGCACCAGCGGCCCTCGACCAGGGTGGTGAGTGCTGAGCAAGCAGACCGGAACGCACCGAGTTGCTGTTCCTCGCTCATGAGGCTTTGGAGGAGCTGGGGTAGTAGCATCTGATCTTTTTGGCTGAGAAGGGCTGTGAGACCACTTTGAATTGTCTCCTATTTTAGCTCTGAGCCTGTCTTTCAAATAAACATCTTCCTGATTTTAAAACCAGTAGTGGTGTAGAACCTCCCATGGTTCTTACTAGGAAAGCATGCACTTAATTTTTCATCTGAATTTGTCTGGCATCAGCTTTCAACACTTTCCAATGGCAGCAGGCCCATGAGAAGAATTCCCTTGTGGTGCTGTGTGACAATCTCGCTTTGCCCTTTTGGAGACAGGCTGTACAACGCGTAGTGAAGTGAGGGGGTGTTGCTCCTCAGGTTGCTGTTGCAGTGTGGGAGGCTGCCACTTGGGATAGCTAAGCAGACTGGTCTTGATGTGTCATCTGTTATTGCTGATGGATGTTTACGAGACAATTACTGCAAAGCTTTCTTGAAATTAAGATTAAGTTAATTGTGGGTTCCAAGGATATGTGCCTACTTCTTGTAGGGGTACTGAACCTTTTCCTGCAGGGCATGTGAATAAGAAAAGGTGTTTTCTTAGTAGTTGTGCCTTGATTAGCTGTCACTTGTGATGCATGACCTCCAAGGTGGGATTCACAGAAGGGGCCTTGCTGGGGAAACGTGGATATTGTTAGGCCTACCTCCACTGTCCTAACTAATCAAGTGTTGGCCTGATGAGAGAGCAACAGGTAGCGGACAGTCTAATTGCATGCTGGGCAGTTGTTGCATGGAGGCAACCATGTACACTTGGAAGGACAGCAAGCTCCCCTGGGTCAAGTCCTGCTTGGGTGCTGGTGTGCCCCATTGCCATTGTGTTCCCATGGCATCCTACGTGTTACATGATGTAGGTGAGGCAAAGGTGCAGAGATTTTCTCCCGTGTTGCTTGGTGCCAGTGCTCAATTACTGGCAAAGAGTGTGGGCCAGAAGGTACTCTGTGACTCTGGGTTTGGCTCAAAGGCCGCAAAGAGATGAGCTAAATGGTTATATCCTTGCTACAAATGGGAATTGTTTTAATGTTGTGTATAGAATGCTGGCCTGGTGGATTATTTCAGTAGATGACGTGAGCACAGTGTTTGAGTCGCATTTTTACTCTAGGGCTGTAATATATTTTGTAATTTCATGAGTTTAATGATTAAACAATATGTATTTATCCTGGGACTTTATTAAAAGCCTTTTTTTGAAATTCATGTGTCTCTTCATAGTTTGTGAACCAATAACCCACCAGCGTATTGGCTTGAGCAGTAGAAAATACCACTGCTTAGCAACCTCGGTAGAATGAACAGAGATGACTGCAGTAACATGACAACGTAGGAATAAAAAGCTCAGAAAAGAAGTAACGTTTCTTTTCCTTTTACATCTACTCCACCAAAATGGAAGCACAATAGCAAAAGAAAAAAAAAAAAAGAATGTATACAAACAGCACCAGCTTTTAGCCTTAAGTCGGTTCTTCACTTACCTTTTGTGGCATATGGCTACAGTAAAATAGGCACCATTGGCCACATGCATTTCATTCATCAGAAATTCTTCTTCGCTGTATTGCTCCGGGTAACCTGGTCTTTGCCTGGTGTTGTCTCTTAACTCCATGTGGTGGTGGTAGTAGAAGTCACCCATGATGTAGATGAGAACCAGGACAGAGCAAATTATTGAGCCAAGATGAATGTTTTCTTCTGTATTTGGATACCAAGCCAGGCAATCAACCTGTTGTATTCCTATGTTGCTTTTGGTTTTCCTATTGGAGTCCTCAGTCTTTATGTAGGAGAGGTTAAGTGTAATGTAGGTTCTTCTCTACCATCTGTGCATGATGTCCAGGATCTTTAACTTTCTTGTTAGGAGATGTTTTGTTTTGTTTCATGATTTGTCTGTCTCTTGAACTGTGTTTGGGAGCTCTGTGTCCAAGCCTGGGTTGATACCTCTGAAAAGTTTTTAAGAAGTGTTCATAAAAAGCATCTTACACTGCAGAAGTGTTACATATCTAGTGCAAGTGAAGGTGGATTTAAAATGCAATCCAGCAGAAGGAGTAAGTGAATCAAAAAGGTGTCGTCCAGCTGAAATTTTAGGGTAGCCCTTGGAGAATGAAGCTGTGTGAGCTACTCCCACTGCAAACCAGCCCAGGCTCTAGCTGAGGCCAAAAGGAGACGGGAGCTGACGCCTGTGTTTCAGCTATGCCTCATGCACCAGTTCCTTCGAGCCTGTGACTAGAGGCGAGGTGGGCAGGACTCAGGAGCTACGGCCTGCGTCAATGCAGTGAAGACAAACCTCAGTTCAAAAGATGCTGAGTTCAAGCTAGGTGATTGTGGGAGAATGGGATTTAGGCAGCCCGTGAGGGAGATGTGCCTTATGAGGTACAGGTTACTGGGCAAATTTGGAACAAAGAAATATTTACAAGTGAAATGGATTTTCTCTTTGCTTTGGAAAAAGTTAAAACAGTTCTGCTTTGTTTTATCGTCGCCAATTTAGAATAGTTTAATGATTTTTAGAAGGCCATCAGCATTAGCAAGAACAGATGCTTATTCTTCCAGTGAACTACTGTTCTTAATTTTGCACAGGAGA